TTTTTTCACTCTACTTATAATATTATACAGAATAATAGTTCAATATTTAACATCAAAAGTAGAAAAAAAAAATTTTTAAAAAAAAAACCATGAATATTTTTCTTTATATTTGTTCCAAACGTTTCAAAGTCAATAAAAACTACTGTTTTTGCCAAACGCACTGATCATCGCACGCATTTTCGTATGATTTAATAGAATTTTAATTTACACTAAAATACATGATAGTATAATATTTTAATCTGAAAACCAGCCCGTGCCGTACTCGGGCCGATTAGTAAACTAACCACCTAAGTTGGTATTATTATTATTATTATTATTATTTTGATTTTAAACGTTGGATTCCATTAACAAGAGTTGACAATATTAATAAAACCAAATACGATAATTTTAAAACCACAATAAAAATACTGAGTTGGCACTATCCATCGACAGAATTCTAAACCAACAACGCAAACTATTGTAGTTCAATGGTGTGATAGAATACTGGATTTGAGTAAAGTTGTCTTAATCGTTACACGGTGTAAGAGTTCACCGAAGTAAACGCGTAATATTGATGTAATAATATAAACAATGATTGGTCGTTACTCGTGAGTGAGGTGGAAAAAAAAACGTATTTAACTACCCGACGCACGACAACCATCGGTCGCCGTCATCGTTGTTGTTTGTTTTTTTGTTGTTGTTGTTGCAGTTGTCGTATAGTCTGTTTTCGGTGYGGGTCGACCATAAAACCCGTCACTGAAACGAACTTCACGCTGATTGAAACTGGGKAAATCACGTCATATGATGTATGATGTCGGACACGCTCGTGGACACGCCGATCACGAACGCGAATATGGCGATGAGGATAATCAGCAGGTTGCGCAGGCAGAACAAACCGAACCGCACACTTCCTTCGTCCTTGTAGACGTCGGAGAACGTCAGGAAACTGACGATGGCTGGTAACGCGATGCCCACAGAGGACAAACAAAAAGCGCCGATCAGCGAGATCAAGTGCTCCAAGTTCGGTATGGCGATGGCGAAGAAAACTGTATAGAAGGAGAAAACATAATAAACAAATTAATTCAAGTCGAGTCCCGCTAACGCAAATTTAGTTAAGGTTGGGGAGTGGGTGGGCACTAAATGGCCGAAGGGTCATGTTTAAACATTTATGGATACAGTATCTCGGAACGGTTAAAGTCTCCCAGCGCGGTGCCGGGTAAAAACCTTTTCCGTCCTGTGAGAATTACTTACATGTGATGATCACTATGGACGTGCGAAGTGCATACTCCCAGCAGATTCTGTGCTCGTTCTTTTCCATCTTTTGTTCCATTCCCTTCCAGATGATGTCGAACGCCACGTAGTTGGACAGAGCGTAAGTAATGTATATGGAAATCGACAGAAGGAGTTTCACGACTTGAGAGAGGCTGTAATCATAATAATTCGATTAATTAATGTACAAGTCGGTCATAAATCACTTCAATATTTCGGTATTATATCATATTATGGTATATGCATATTGTATTATATATTGTTCGGAAATTCCACTTAGGAATCGTATCATTTTATTTTATTTCGATTAGATACCTAATATTAAAAATAATTTCTAAAGAAATTCTTTCTTAACACCATATATATAAATAGGACAATGCAATATTATATTGCAAACAACACCACTTCGACTATATTATTTGTTTATGTAACATAAATTATGTTGTCTATTATACTCACACTTCGGTTTGGGGCATGTCGAGTGTGATGCTGCCGGTGGTTTTTTCGCCGTATTTCAGGTAACCGAGTAATCCGACAACTGTGTATAAGACGGAGATGGGCAACATGGATGCGTTAAGCACGCCGAACATACTACCAAATTTCTTGGGGTTCTTCATTTCGTTTTCAAGTGGCAAGACCTGTACAAAAAAACGAACAAACGCAATGTTAAATATCATGCAGCGTATACGACGTTATATAAGGTAAGGCACTAGTGAACATGTTAATGAAAAAAAATTAAATTTTGTTCGTCAAGTTAAGTGAACATTTAGAACCTTAAGTTATAGGTAAATAGTATTTTAATTTTTTTAATTTTAAACGAATAATTCCAATTGTACACAGAATTATGTACAAGTAATTTAATATCTTTATTTAACATATACTAGTATACTAAATGATAAGTACAAATGAAAAAAATAAATATAAATTATACAAAATATCGTTTTATATTTTTACGGCGTGTAGTATACTTTCTCGGGCGAGATATTAAATTATGGCGAGCCGAAGTTGGCCCKCGAGCCGTAGTTTGGCCAACACTGGCTTAGATGATCAGATAGATGGACGTAGCAGGTGAAGGATTTTGTCGTATAATTAATTTAAAAATATCAATCAACAGTTTTGTCGAACATTAATTATCCTAAACGCTTTATTCACAATATACATATAATATATACGAATATAGCTGTTAGGCAACTGCAACATGTGTAAATAATTAATAGAACATAATATACTTAAATAATTAAATCGAGAAAAATTAATTATTCGATTGATTTCGTTTAAAATGGCAGTATATAAATGCATCGCGATAAGAAGAATCTGCTAATAATTATAGTTGAGTTGACTTTTTAACGTTCACCTTTGTAGGTCATATGTAAGTATATTAAGTTATAATATCATAAATCTGTATATATATATATATATATTATTGCGGTTTGTACACTTACCATGCCGATGGCTTCCATGGCGAAAAGCACAGTGCCGAAGAACAGCGGTATGCTTTTGACGGTACCGACTGGTTCGCGGTCGACGAACGATGGAGCTTCCCGGAAAATGTAGTAGAAAATCAACGTAAAACTCACGATGGTCAGGCAAGTGGCGATCGAGGAAAACGGCGCCAAGAGTTTCAGATTCCTTATCCAAGAGATCAATATCAGCGGGATCAATATGTACACCATGTACATCCGCACGTCAGTGTTGCCACCGAGGTAGGCATCGCCGACCTGTAAAATTTTCCAAAAAAATACAGTCATTAATACGTTCGTTCCCCCGAATGACCACTGTGCACTTGCAAGGTACCACTCTAACTTACCACTTTGAGATTGCTAGCTATAAACACCACGTAAATACAACTGGAACCAATTTGGTAAAGTACWAGGAACATGTTTGTCATCATTCTGAAACGGGACAAAAATCGTTAGARCCGGGGGTTGTAGGGTTGTTATAAAATTATATATATCAGGGCACTAGGGCAGTTTATCGGACGACCGTTTGAGAATGATATCATGATGTTATATTATCGTGTTGGTATTAAATATGATGTACTATAGAACAATAATATTGCAGTGGTCCTTACCTGGCGTAAGGAGCCAATACTCTGGTGAACTTGGGACCCTCTTCGAAAGCCGCCGCCACGGTACCAGGATACGTGAGACTGGGCACTTTTCTCTTGATGCATAGCTCGTGCGATGCGGTGATCTAAACAATAAATAACGGTTATATTTTATTATTGATAAATAATAATAAAGGTTGTGCATTGTGCTACGTACACGACCCAAGCGTACCGTTTCTGGGTGCGCTTATTATTATAATCACTGCTATTGTTTACACTTACCAGCAAATGTATCGTGAATGTACACAGTATTCCGATGATGATCGTACCCAACGTGCCCACCACGTAACCGGCATTTTTGAAAGCGCTTGGCATGGCCAGAATTCCCGTGCCCAGGCTGGCCTTTAGGAGATGTATCAGCGTGTCGAAATATCTATAATATTGATAAACRTGATGAAACATAACRGCAATATAACTCACAGTCTAGGTAGTAGTAGTCTATATATAATATTATGATGATGTGGGTCATTTTTGTACTCACGTTGTGGGGTGTTTTACGTCGCGGTGTTGGTACGGGTTGTAAAAGTTCTGTTTTTCGTTCAGCTGCGCAGCGGTGTCGCTCTTCATGTTGATTCCGACACACTTGTTGTTGAGGCTGTCCATGTTAATGCTGTAACAACGCAACACGGAAAATGAAATATTATATAAGTGGTCGTAGGTCATTTTTGCAGACATCACTGTTTGTTCAATCCACAAATAATAAACATATATACCCTGMACACATGTTTATTATTTATAAATAGTATGTTATGTACCACTCGTCATACCCATTACACTCGTCTAGGAACTTCAATATAAAATAKAAATAGAAAGAAAAACATTGGATTCCGTACAGTGCACTGCACTTGATAAATCGTAAATATTGTATAAGTGAACGTYGGTATGTTATTGATGAGTATATTATGATACACAAGTGCGCAACAAAAATCTAATTCGTTCAGAGTTCAGTAAGGTTTAACTTCTCGAGTCCTCTTATAATATTATAAATGTATATACAGAAATCTGCTAACACTTAAATCTCGCATACGAACTATAACTAAATCGTCACTCGTTATATGTATATACAAGTTYGTTTCGAATGAAGCACGTGATATTTAAGCCCGAATGAAATAAATATACTTTGTATACGGTATATCGTTATATTCAAWGCGTTTATTATTTATTATAATTTATAATATAGGGATTATATTATGATATATTATTATGATTTATGGCATTTCGATGAATGGACGCGGTTTGCTACTCAACTCACATCATATTTACAGAAATACAAGCATATTCGCGCAAATCGATCGTTCAATTTTTCACGAGGAATCCCTACTYTGTCGATCAACGAATCATATTATGTATGCAACATGATGAGTTGTAGTGTTGTACTAAAACTATACTTTATAGTAGAATCAARTTAATAAATAGGCAACGGGAATGATTACGCCATTGATTGTTGGCAGAATATGATGTATTAAAATAACATGTAAAAGATGAAATAAAAAATTTAAGCAATTAATTTCAAAAAACGCATAACTTACGATAAGATCACAAACAACGAATGATAAGAAACAATAGGAAAACATTAATCGATTAATCAATCAATCATCAATGTATACCTACATATAGAAGAGTACATATTAATTTAATCATTATGCATATCCGACAAAATAATATTAATTTTGTTAATATTATCAAATATTAATAGGTCAAGACCGTATGTCCGTATATTTTTCGAGAAACAACGAGTTACTGGTGTATACAATTTAACCTCCGTGAATCRATAGTCTTCAATGATTTAAATTATTTTTGTTCGTATTTTCGAATGGACGTTTAATATATTATTATAAATTATTATCAGCTGCGCAGTGCACAACTATCCGCAATTATAAATGCAGTTTATTTTGGARTGCAATAAATATTGGTAAATTAACTCAAAGATGACTATTTCAATTAATTTTTTGCATGGAGTCTGACATCGACTAGGTAGACACTCGCCCTGTTCATTCGCATCGAAAGTACAAATAATTAATATGACATACAGCCATACAGGTTTATAATATTATGCCTATAGGTTCATACGCTGTAACGAATTATAATATGCATATATATATTGATATATTAACGGAAGTAAATGACCAAAGAGTATATTTTTTGTATGTTATAACACCGTTGCGGCGTTACGTCGTTACAATACTATAATATAGCTATCAATTATTATATTGACATATTATTGACAGCAAATATAGTTAATAATATATTAATATATRATATAMAAGAATTCACGTAGTCATATCGTTTGTACAGTTTTCGAAAAACAGTTATTAAGAGTCAAAATGTTGTATAGATTTAAAAAAAAACTATTTATTGTGCCATAGGTATGTATATCATCATAATGTATGAATTTAAGGAATGTCTGTTTTTAATTTCAAACAAACGTAACGAATATAAGTACGATATTCCGACTTATATTTGTGTATGTAGTATGTGAACGAATAAGGAGCGATTTAAAATATGATTAACTATGTAAGTAAAAACAAAATCTGTGTTCGTCATTCAGCGGAAGGTTTTTCGTGAAAAAAATGTTATAATCATCTGAACTTTGGAACCATTATAGTATAATGTAGATGGTTCTGCAGTTCTCCTCACCACTGTGGGCATAATAAAGGTACCTACTTCGTCGTCGTATACATAATATAATATTTTACACAATGTAGAATGGTACATCGCTTCGCCTTATAACATATTATGAGGTTACGTCCAACCTACGTATCGAGTTCAAAGCAGATAAACGATTCTCATAACCGGATATAATATCAATGTTAAAACCTTAAAACACAAAAACCATGTTGAATTTTTTTTCATTTAAATTGTGTTTGATGTAGATAATAACGCGAAAAACACAGAAGTCGAATTTATTTTAATTCTCATTCAGATTCGAGTTATGGTTGATGTTATTGAAGGTAGGTAGGTATATCGCGAATCAAAAAAAAATTATGATGTCATTAGGCACCACCATCCTCTATAGATTATAATTTACAATACGGGTCAAATGTGTAATATGCTCACCAAGTATTTCCGTTGATGGGTTTTCCGTTGATATCTAACTCAGATCTCAGCATTCCTTGGTTGTCGTAACATTCTGCTGCTGCCATTTGCTGTAACGATTAAATCAGACGGTCGTCGGTTATTACACATGATTAACGTAAAATAAAAAATAAACCGTTTGATGGTTAAAAAAACTTAATCTATAATATAAAAAAGAGATGAATTTGTCATTACACTCGATTATCCTACATTTTTCTTACCTCCACTGACCAGTGAAATAGAATTAGAATATATAGCAGACCGACGTTATGATAATATAATAATAATAATAAATAATAGTACGGTACAGCGATTGTGATAACCTCCGTGCACCGACGGCCGTTTATCGGTTTGGGACTTAACTACCATCGGGCGTTGAACGACGATAGCTGCAGCAGCTGCGGCTATATGCAACGGCGAGTGAGTACGCGTACAATGTGATGTAAGTTCATCGTATTAATATATTATTATAATATCATAATTCATAAATTATAATATCAGCAATTTCGTCGGCTGGCCTAAACCAAAGTGAGCGAATTAATCGTACGAACGATAGCAACAGTTATTAGGCCATACACTTTAATACTTTATTGCAGTGATGTAATCTCTGAGCGTCTTATTATTTGGGGCACGCGGTACCTTTTATGATCAAGACGATACATGTACCAGAGCACCAATATAGTAGTAACTCTAGACGAGCGTACACTTATTGTTATTATGTTATTATTGTGAGTGACAGTGCGCGCACGCCTGAGCCAAGAATTTTTATTTCGTTTTACGACAAAATAGCTATGCACAGTACATCTTCGAGATGTATTTGATTTTCTGCGCTTTTTATGGGTGCCRAAAATCATATATCTGCCACTAATATAATTGGGCAAAATTATATATATACAAAGGTACTGCGGTCGGTCGGCCGATGAAACGTCCAAAAGTCACGACATATATAATAACATGATGGGTGCAATAAGAAATTGAATTCGATATATAGGACATAATATACTATATAATAGTCAYTATATTTWGACGACGTTAGTCTCGCCGCTGATCTCGCGTATGAAATACTACGTGACGGTTATAACGTCTTATAATATTATAAGATCAAAAGCCGCGTAAAAGTCGAAGGCAAAAAAACGCGTTCAAACTTCACCTGTCGTATAGTGTTTTCCAAACGGCCCTAAATCATTCTTATGTCCTATAGGTTCATCAGAATCAAATTCTTTCTTTATTATTATTATTATTATATTTTTTTTAACAAAAGTATTATACAGTTGCAAAGGCCCGGGTTATATTTTTCCTACAGTATATCTAAGCCAAACACGCCGAAAGTGCTAAAAAGTTTTAGTTGGAAAAAACACATAAATTATCGTGGTTAATGGCACGCGAATATATTATTATTATCATTGCGAGCTACTGCCTATGGTTACGGAACCGTTTATTAAAATATCATAGTAACCGATACCAGAGAATCGACAGCAGTACTTTATCGTAARTTATAATTTATAATGCGTGTACATACAGGTGTCGGACGCGGATCGAGCGTGGGTATAATAAACAACGCTCATAAATAATGTCTCGAATTATGATAATATTGCGGTTATGAAAAAACTACATATGAAATGTTTTTTCTCCGTTCGAATAGAACAATGGGTTCTCGGCCGTTTCCGTTCCGATCGCATTCGTGTGTATTTTAATTTCGTTCGAATGTCACGAGATCCAAAACGATAATTTTTTAGATACTGTAACGAGCGGCATGTAACAACCTCAATCATAATATATAGTAGAGTAATTAAAAACTTATCGGATTTAAATGCTTTAAAATTGTACTAATATGCATGCTGCACTTTTTAGTTTTTACTATTTAAATTTAGATTTTTTTTRAGATTAATATTAGGATATTATTACACGCTGGTGGTTCATACATAAGATTTGTCATACGATGAGGTATATGTGCAAAGGTTGTAATTTGAAAGCATTACACGACAGTTATGAGTTCTTTGACCATCGCGAAATTGCGACAAAACGTTCGCGTGTAAACATATAATAATATTATGRTAAAATAATTACACGACGGGTTCAAACGGTGCCAATATAATGTATAAAATAATAATATTTTATCTTCCAGTTCATCGGATTTCTTCACACAAGATKAAATCGGAACTTGTAGTATATACAACTACGACACATCCCTTAAATTCGAGATGTTGGCAGGATAGAAAAGATACATACTCGTACACATCCCTTTAGTATGGGCAGTCGGACAATGTAGGTTTTCACGCATTTATAGGTGTCGTCCGGTGGTTCTTCAGGAAGAGGTAATGTTTGATAGGGGTGTGTGTGTGTGTGCGTTTGAGTGATTGAGGGGTGKAAATTGTTTGTGTTTATACAACATTATTTTAACCCGTTGACCTCTTTTATACGACTTCCTCCGCGAGCAGTAGTTGTGAGTCGTTAGCGATACTATAATAGTTTCATGATACATCAGAATTTAATATTTTCAGA